TAAACCTATCATTCAACTGAATTAGGTCAGTTTTTTGTTGAAATTATTACTTGCTAACAATAAGTTTCTTGACAAGATCTTGATCTGTCTAGAGGTAAAGTTTCATTTGCAACCAGTTGAAAAAAGGAATTGTTTATGGTGTGCGGGTATAAAAGAAACGTTATCCCGATTTGGGGATTGTTGAAAAAGGAAGAAAAGGATGGGAGAATGATCGAAAGAAGATTGAAGCGAGGCTGAGAATTCTATTTACGCCTCATTCTTTTTTACGCAACCATTCCCCCCAAAAAGAATAGGGGCTCTTCGTGGGAAATTGCGGTGCTCGAATCTTCTCCACAAGTGAAAGAAAGACTTTTGGGAAACCGATTGAAGATTTTTGGGGGAAATTGGTGAGAAACTTTCTTTCACACCACAAAGACAATGGAGGAAATTTTCAATTAGGTGAGAAAGATCCCGAATTTGGAAGCAATTGAGAATCGCTTATGTGCTTTCTATCTGAAAGATTCTATATGATATTCATGAATTGTCTCCAATGAAAGTTTGGCCCTTAAAGTTACGATATTTGAAACTTGTTGTTGAATACGTTTGGGGATTATTTAGTAGCTCAAAAAAACCGCGACAATTCCATTTTTCGGTGTTTTTCGGTGACAATTCCATTCTGAAACTAGAACGTCGGATTTTAGCGTCGGATGAACACAAAAATTTGTACTTGGGAGTTTTCGAGGTTAGTAAATCTGAATCCATTGTTAAAAATCAATTATGAACCATGGTTACTGCCAATCCAGTCAAAAACTTTGGTAATTAAACTGAAATTGATAAAAAGACTAAAATCGAGGCCCGTTTCTGCCTTCTATACTTAAAAGCTGTGCCAAAAGCTGCGCGATTACGTAAACATGAAAATTTCATTGTTTTGCATAAGCGCGCGCCTTTTGACACACGACAGGAATGTTTTTCCACAAGAAAATTAATAACTTTATTAGTTTTCAACATTTTTACAATCTCTCTTCATTTTTTATTAGAGGCTATGCAACTTTTGAGATCAAAAGCATCCAAATCGGTCAAATGGGAAAGTTTTTCAATGTCGAAGTTGAGTACTCCTCAAAATGGCCAATTTCGAGTACTTGGGGATTACTGTAGCAAAAATTAATGCTAGATTCGGATTCCGCGTACCTGAAAACCCCCATATACAAATTTTCAGCTTAATCTCTCCTCATTTCTTTAGCCTACTGAACTTTATCCATTTTATATGTCTCGAAAACTTTCTCAAAGCTTTGATGAATCTTGTACCACAGTTTTAGAGAATTTCCAGCTTCTGCAAGCTATAGAACAAGCGTGGATACTGTGCAATATTTGTAATTTATCAAGATACAGAAAGCCAAAGTTATCTATAATAGAAGGCTTTCTTTGAAGAAAATCTTAAGCTTATTGCAGCCTTTTTTTTCATTTCTAATAGTAATTCTAGTTTCAAAAGTGATTTTTCTGCGTAAGATAGGCTCAATTCAGAAGCCAGACCTTGCCTTACAAACATTAGGACCTAGATCAACCCTGCTTCTCTCCAATTATAGAAATATTGTTGAGAAAAGTGATTTTTCTGCGTAAGATAGGGTCAATTCAGAAGCCAGACCTTGCCTTGCAAACATCAGGACCTAGATCAACCCTGCTTCTCTCCAAATCCTACTTTTAATTCCCATCTAGAAGTTATTCGATTGTAAAACTTTTTCGGGTAAACTTTCCGGATTTCTTTTTTTTCTTTTTTTGACCCAAACGACCCAGAAGAAGATCTGTTCAATGAGTGATCGGACTAAGAAAGAGATAAATGAATGTCCACAATCTTTCCCTGGTTTCCCATCTTCTCTCTCTCTGATCACTCTTCCCACTCATTCTTCTCATTTTTTGTTTTTTTTTTTTTTCCCACAACAGCTTCCTCTCATCCTTTTTCCCCTTTGGACAGGCGCAGAGACAACAAATGAGTGAAAGGAAAGCACAATGTGATTGCTAGGCCCTACCCACAAAAACACCTATCTTCATCCATCATTCGCAATAAGCCTAGCTTTGGCTATAGATTTTTAATTACTAAAAAGCTTACTATCTTTCTTTATCTTAATTTGGAAAGCTCATTACTTTCATTATCACTAACACTAAGCCGACTGGGCAACGTTTTCCTGTTATTCACTTTATTCACTTCCTTCTAAAATCAAATTTTTGATATTAATTTGATAGTTGATATCAAGCCAAACAAGATTACGTCAGAAAGCTAAGGCAGATCTTTAACAGATTACTTTAGGATACTTTCTGTACATCATCTCTAGTTCTTATCAACCGTTCGAAGCAAGTCAAGAACCGATCGACTTTTCTTCAAAGGGTTTTTGTTCTGAAGAATAGAGCGGAAATTTCCCGCCAATCACTTTTTTTGGTTATTCAGTTATTGATCTTCTGGTATAAAGCTTAAGAAACTTGCTTTTTTTTCTTACTTATCTTCCTTGTCTTGCTTATCTCCCTGCTTAACTTATCTTGCTCCTTAAACTCTCGTTTTCTTTTCTTAAAATTCAAATTTGCATATAAATCAATGAAAACCTTTTCTTTTCTTACTTTTCTTCTTAGATCTGTTCTCTGCACCTAGTTTTAACATTTCTCCCAAAGATAAAAAAAACCCTGAATACAGGTTTGCTATCAGCTGATGATCAAATCTAATGCTCATATCTAATTCAACTCCAAATAGGACTTCTCCGGCTAATTTAGTACTATTATTGGTGGTTTGGCGTGTTGGTTGAAAGTCTCGATAAGGGTCGGGTCGCTTGAAAGTGAAAGCGAATGAAAGAAGAAAAAGAAAGTGTGGTGAGATGGTTTTGAATTTCACATAGACACCCCATCCAGCTGAGCGAGCATAAAAAGGGGAAAATTGGCAAAAAGGACAAGAAAAGGAAGAAAAGAGGGGACAAGGGGGCATCCAATCGAATGTCGATTCCTGGCATCATCTCTTTTTGCACATATTACACGTTTGATTTACACGATTTCATTCAGTGTCGACTTTTTGTTGCCATTGTTTTTCCTCGGTTCTTCTCTGAATATAATGTTCACCAGAGTTTCCAGTACAGCTCCACTTTACAGCCTATAGACTCAGTTAGACTTATAGTCAGTATCTGTATTCGGAAACCGTACTCTGAATCTGGCTTTGAATCATTTACTTTTTTCTATGTAGCTTATTCTTTTCTAAAACTCGGCCTGGATATCTTTCAAACTGTCTACCATACTTTAAAAGGGTTAAAAGTTATGTAAAATGCTCAGAAAATGATCGCATAGTACCGTTAACTGTAATCAGAGATGTTATAATCAAATTTTTGATAGTCGATATGAGGCCAAACAAGATATTACACCCAGAAAGCTAAGGCAAATCCAGCAAGCCCATAATTAACAGATTACTTTAGAATACTTTCTGTGCATGATCTCTAGTTCTTAAATCTTATTAATGGCTATACATTTGGCTATGATCCATCTCAGTTTTACCTCTCTATTTATTTGATATCATTTCCCGAGACTCAAATCAAAGTCTGGCAGAACTGATTGAGAAAATGAGTCAAGACGGGTGAGGGGTAATTCCTCATTTCCTTCAGCTTCTCTCTATGCTTTGCTCGGTCTGATTCGGTAAATATTTATTTTTTGTTGCTTGGCCTGCTGAGGGAAATCTTTTGATGGGGAAGGGGGAGGGAAGGGGAAGGGAGAGGGAAGGGGAAGGGGGAGGGAAGGGGAAGGGGGAGGGGAAGGGAAGGGGAAGGGGCACGGGGAGAGGTCCTCAACACTTCACCTTGAGCCCCAACACCCTTTTCTTAAATTTTTGAGAGCTTTTTCAATAGAAAAAAATATATTATTATGCTCTAAGTTGAACCCGGTATTGAATGAACTCTAAATTTCTTTTTGTTACAACTTTTGAAAAGCTTTGGCGCATTTTTGTCTTAAACGATTTTAGCTTTCTTTTAGCTTTAGATTTAAGCCAAAAGATAGCTTTTAACTAGAAAATCAAAAGCTTTTAACTAGAAAATCAATTGTAATTCGTTTTTGTTTCAATTTTTTTTTCGCAAAAATTTCTTGGCAAATGCCCAATTCGAACTTGTCAAATAGTTTTCTATCAATTCTCAATGAAATTCTTGTACTCCAGTCAATGGATTAGAGAACTAAATGAATCCCAATTTGTTGTTTTTTTACGACTTTTTTCAGCACTGCAAATTTTTTTGACGGAGTTGCGCACAGCTGTCGATTGAATGGGGGAAAGAGTTTAGGGGGAGTAGTTGGAAGATCGAGTGCATTTTATGGGTGTTGAATGGTCGGACTCCCCATGCACACACCCTGAAAATGTTTTCAACTCAAAGTCCATTCTCACGAATTTTTCTTGCTCAAAATGTTGATTTTCATTGTAAAATAAAGCCAAAAATTCTTGATTTTGAACGATTCACCGATCATTTTCTTTCGATTTACTGATTGTCCTTTTCGACTTAATCAATTACTATTCAAAAATGTTTTTAAAAGACTTTTTTTTCTGTATTTTTATCCATATTATAGAAATATTGTTGAGAATTTTGGTGAAAAAGAGGAAAAACTGGATGATGATTGTATTGTAACTGTCATATCGAAATGGGGGATCAACGATGAAATTTTTGATGTAAAAGGGGAAATCGGGAAGGGATATTTTGAGAGGAAATCAAGAGAGAAATCGCCTTTCACATCAAAGCTTTACAATTATAGATTTTTTTTCTTTTCACATCTTCATATAAATCCCTAGTAGCCTTCCCTTATATCCCTTGTTCTTTACCGTGTTTTTTTTTGTTGATTTTATGAAGTCAAATTTCTTAAATAAACCAATCAATTTTCAGCGACAAGACGGTGATTTCTATGTAAATTTTGATGAAAGGCTAAAGTTAATTTTGAACGAGTGGAGGGACTCCAAAATCGAAAGAAAATCGAAAGAAAATCAGAAAAGGAGGACCCTCCCATCTTTTAAGGATAAAACAATGGAGCCAATACCCGAAGAGACCGATGAATGGACGGTTAGTTTTAATAGAAATAAGATATATATGTCGTATCCGTTTACGAAATTCATCCGCTAACGAATAATTCGTAGTCGGCTAGCCGCTAACGAATGATTCGCAATCGGCTAGCGAAAAATTTCATTCGTAATCGGCTAGCTGTTCACGAATGATTCGTTAACGGCTGAATTTCGTAAACGGCTACGACATATAGATTAGATTTCTTATTTTTACAATTCAATTGGATTTTATCTTATAGCAATGAAAAAATTGTGTAACTGTAACTGTTTTTTGTCGCCTTTCTGTGTTAGAGGTCTTTCTGTTGAAATCAGGGTTTTTTTTGTCTTACTATTAGAGTAAATTCTATGCATTCACATTTAAAATCTCGATTTTCCTTTATAAATATGCAAAAATATGCAGTAAACCTTAAAAAATGCAGTAAAAATGCAGTAAAAAATGCAAAAAAGCTACCCCTAAAACAAAATGTAGCAAAAAAAATGATTTGTTTATCCTGTTAAATTTAGCCTCATCCCTCATCGAGCTCGCGAACGACGCGAAAACGCGAAGTTTTCACGAGTGAACAAATCGACACGCTTGTTAGGTGAGTGGAAAGGGAAAAGTTCAAAAAAAAAATAATGTAAACTATACATTTAAATAGTAAATTTTTTACCTATGCATTTCTATCCTTCGTACCAAAAAATATTAGATTTCAAGGGCTATCATTTGACACCCAAGCGCACACTCTAAGCAGCTCTAAAGCTCTAAAGCAACGCGGAGAACAGGGCGCGTTCAAAGCTAGACTACGCGACTGTACACCCGTCATTATGGCGAATATTTACTGTAAGTGGTGTTCCTTGAATTCTTTGTGTGGATATGAGTGGAGAGGAGGGTCACAGGCCATCCCCTTCAAAAGAGACGACCTTCTTCTTCTCCTTTTTTACCACCGGAATGTTTGGCTCTTTTCCCATCCAGAGAACTGTTCACCCAAAAAAGAAAAAATTTCTTTTCATCTTTTTACTCTCTTCTACTTACCCACATCTTTTTGCTAGACCTAGAAACCCCCTTTGAAGGGAAGGGGATGGATGGAAAGGAGATGACTGCACACTTTTTGTACATCGAAATTAATATTTCTCTCTCTTCCACGCAGCAACCTCCCCCCGCACCCTCCCACCACCCTGACCCCCCCCCCCCCCCCCCCCCCCCCCCCCCCCCCCCCCCCCCCCCCCCCCCCCCCCCCCCCCCCCCCCCCCCCCCCCCCCCCCCCCCCCCCCCCCCCCCCCCCCCCCCCCCCCCCCCCCCCCCCCCCCCCCCCCCCCCCCCCCCCCCCAAAACCTCAACACCCCGCACCATTCCCCCCCCCCCCCCCGACGAATCAACAGGCCCCATCGGAAATTCTACCCAGCCACGCGGAAATACTTTTTTTTTTCTCACTTCTACTTCTTACTTCTTTCTGAAAGAATTGAAAATTTTCCTATCTTCTGGTACTGAACAAACAAGGAACAGCGGTGCAGCTGCAGAGAGGGGATTAGGGACGATCAAAATGAGCTCCGCTTATCGCCCACTACGCCACACCAGCCGTTCCCCAGACCCGCAGACCGACCCGACTCACCATCCTCTTTCCATTTTGACCCACGGCCCCCACAATCCGAACCCAAAAAGAGGTGAGCCTCCCACCCAGCCGCACCTCTCTGGGGGACCAAACCCCACGCGGGAGTCCACTGACGAGCTGAGCACATCTGTAATTAGGGATTGCAGTTCCAAAGTGGTGCACCCCCGACGCGCAGAAAGATTTTTACGTTTGCACATTTATGAATCTTAGAGCAACAGAAATTATTCCAATCCGCCAACTCAGCCAAAAAGAGTGCCTGTTTTTCAAACGAGCCCACAGTTTCTCCCCAGCCTCACTCACTCAATAGATTACCAACATGTCCCAGGAGGTGAGCCGTGCCCCCCCCCCCCCACAAGTACCACCAAAAAAGGGCACTCGGCACAGGGGAGCAAGGGAAAACAAGTGCTATTGATGAACGACTCATTCCACACCCCCCGGGCCCACGAACACTCCAAAACGAGCCAAAGCCTTTGATCGGGAATTATCCCATACTCCCATGGGGGGACCCCTCCACCATGGACACTGGATCCAGATCTAAGCCCACGCAGCCAGCGCCCCCCCCCACAACACCCACTGACCACAAAATCAAAGCACAACCAACGAACTCCATCCCCCCCCCCCCACAACCCAACCAAGGCCCTGAAGGATTTACTAATATTCTACAACAATTGATTTAGAGAGCCAATAGCTTGAGCAGGAGAGGATGGCGTAGTACATTTGTTTTTATGAAATTTTTGATTTTACTTGAAAAAAGTTCGCTTCTTATAATCTCATTTCATTTTTCAGCACTGTGCCGAAAGAACGAGTGCCCGAGGATTGGGTGATCGAGAACGAGGTCGTCGATCCACAGTAAGTAAAATGTTGAAAAAAAAACGATATTTAAAAGTTCATGTCTATCTTATTGTTAGATTTCTCTATTCTTTATTCTCTCAAAATCTTCTCCTAATTTTGTTCGCCAGCGATTCCGAGCCGATAAGGAAATTTTGAGAACGGATTCAGAATCAGCATCTAGGCTAGAAGTCACTCAGGCTTTGGTTTTGTCACTTTAATGCTTCAACTTCTCTAAGATTTACCACTTTAACAACAAGAAGTGTATAGGACTTCTCGAGAATAGGAAAATTTTGATCTAAGATCAAGATCAATTGGCTAAGAATTTAAGTGTAAATTGAAACATTGAATAATACAGTTGAATAGATAAGAATTGAACACTTTAAGAGTTTCGAGTTAAAAATGAAACAGTCTTGATTTCAGTGATTTCATTGGGCCTATAGAATCTTCTAAAGAAAGTTTTTTTCTTTGAAAACATCTTTCAAAGTACAAATGAGGCTTGAGCAAAAATGATTGGCAAAAAATTTCCTTTAAAATATTCTATAGACCCAATGAAATCACTGAAATCAAGACTGTATCATTTTAAACTCGAAACCGTTAAAGTGTTCAATTCTTATCTATTCAACTGTATTATGCAAAACTCTAATTCTTATGGTTAGCGAAAAAAAGCTATACAAAAAGCTATACACTCCAACTATATGCAAAATCTTGTCTTCGATCAATCTTCCAATATTTGCATATTCCAAACAAACAAATTTCCCTTTTCTTTGAATGTTTTGCCGTCTTTGTACATCTTTTGTGCACAGATGATTATGAATTATTTTTGTGATATTTGTTTCCATCGCACCATGTGGCTCATCGTCGATCTTTTCCCGCTCGGCTTTGTCCTTCTTTGGAATGTCCTTCCCCTTTCTCTTTCTTTAGTGCAGAGTGTCGAGGTTAAGCTTGTTTGAATTGGACGCGCTTCACCCACAACTGGGTCACCCCAACACACAAGAGAAATTTAGAAGTGAAAAGTGCCAAAACCCTTCGGCTTTTTTTTTGTCTCTTTTCCAGTTCATTTCCCTCTTAATTGACTCTAAACCGGCTTTTTAGTCAACACTGAAAACCTATGCAATTAAAAAAAGGAGCCAAAGATTTGCCAAAACATATTACTAGCTTGAAAACTTGTCCAAAACTTTTTTTTCTATTAGGATTCAGCATATTCGATTGGTCGTAAATAAACACAAGCTTTGATATTAACTTTTAGACAAGCATGTTAACTCTGCCCCTTTTTCAGTCCGTTTGCCGTTGGCAATCTACAAATTTTGCAATCTACGAATTTAGAAAAGCATGTTAACTCCGCCCCTTTTTCAGTCCGTTTGCCGTTGGCAAACTACGTATTTTGCTCGTATCTTAGCCGGGTTTGTTTGGAAAAACGTTGAATTTACTTTCCTTCGATAGAAAATTTGATTCCGAGTCGAATGAAAGAAAATTCGACGTTTTTCAAACAAACCCGGTCAAAGGTACGAGGAAAATTTGTAGATTGTTAACGGCAAACGGACTGAAAAAGGCTGCTTAACATGGCTGCTTTTAAACGTATGACTTTTAACCTTTAAAAAACCACCTTTTGAACTTTCGCATTTGTATTTGTATATATATATATTTGATTTCAACTGATTCGATTTGTATATAAAATTCATAAAGATTTCTATTTTAGAATGGCCACCGCATATCTGACCGAGGGATTGGCGGGTCCGAATTCGGCTCGAGGATCCTCGTACACGTACACATACGAGACACACTATGATCAACCACCAGAGGCCGTCTTTGAGGAAACGAATCGAGAAATCGATGATGTTCATCAGACGCAAAAGGTTTATTTTTTAGGAATATATCATAAATATTCTTATAGAAAAGCCACCTGTAAAAGCGTCGCGTAGCCTTAGTTTACTCTCAAACAAACACTCAAATCTCAGCACCAGCACGTTTTTTTCTGCGCGCTTAAGTATGAAATTAAAGTAGAGAGGATGCGTGATTTTTTTTTTGAGATATAACCCATATTTTTAGCATTAACAGCGCTTAGAAAAGATGATTGAAAAGTGGCAAGAAAAGCCGATTTTTCATCATTTTTCAATTATTTTTTTTCTAAGCGCTGGTTAATGCTAAAAATTTGTGTTATATCTCAAAAAATCACCCATCCTCTCTACTTTAATTTGATACTTAAGCGCGCAGAAACAAACATTTGGGCGCCAAGATATGAGCAGTTCTTTGAGTGTAAACTAAGATTACGCGACACTGCTATAGGGGGCTTTTCTATACGGTAGTGTAAATGCATTTTGTCCTCTTGGAAATTATTCTAGATCAAGTCCTAGTTTAAAATTGATATCTTGATTGTATGTATAATTGACAATAATCATTTCTAGGTGACCCGTGTTACGAAAGTGACAACAACGCGATCGGTTCGACAAATCCCCGTCGGCTCCCCGTATGGCGATTTATATTTTGATGCGAGCGGTTTGCCGACTCCATCACCGGTTGTTGAAGTGGAACTGGATGCACCAGTTGATGAATTGGGTTCGTTTTGACGTTTTTTAATATTGAAAAAAAAAATCCCAGGAATCCGATTATCAAGAGATGCAATGCTCAACGATCGAATGGCTCCACCACCAGCGCCGCCAATGGGCGAACGATATCAGAGTCGAAATAATGGTGTGTATTTTATTTTACCTCTTATACAGTTCAAAAGTCTATGAAAAAATTTCAGATTCGGGAATCCCTCTGGCTCCGGGCGCTCCCGAAGTGTTATCGAGTGGGAATGGAGAAGTGACATTGAGATGGGAAGAGCCACCACAGAGAGCCGATGATGGACCCATTTTGGGATATCAAGTAAGAAAATTAAACAAAAAAAAATAGAGTACGAGTTTGATTTCAGATCGAAATGCGAGATTTCCCGGACGGAGAATGGGAAAGAGCGCATGATCAACTTCTGAAGGAAACCTCGTGCACATGTGAGTTAAAAAGAGGGGTACGAATATAAGCTGGAATTCTGGGAACTGTGAGAATCTATAAGGAAAAGCTATACGTTAAACGTAGAGTCGCTTAAAGCCCATCAAATCATTCAAATTTACCCGAGAAGTAGGATTTTACTACGGTAGATTTCATAAAATAAACTAGCTTCATTCCTTGTCTAAAAATAAACTAACTTCATTCCTTGTCTTCATTCCTTGTCTAAAAACTAAAACTGCTCAAGTTTAGACATAGGTTTACTGTATCCAGAAAATAAGAATTAATTCTTAAACTATCTTCATTGATTTGCAAAGTGACACAAAGACATTGGTAGATCGTTATACAAATTTCTGTTCTGGATTTAACTGCATTGCACTATTTGATTAACTTGTAACAAGTGTAACATCTTTATAGTCTTATTTCAAAGCTCATTCAAAGCCCAATGTTCGATTTTTCTGTAAAAAATGGACTTCAAAGCGAGTGACTTGAAAGAGGAAAATTTGTGGGACTCACGATGACATATGCGCAAACATGGGCACCCCAATGAGGAAAGAGAAAAGAGAAAAGGGATGGGCGGATGATCCGCGATTCGATATCGACCATTCCCCAATCCCAATCACAACACACCCATCGATGGATTGAAAAAAGAGGAGAGGGATAAAAAGAGAGAAGGGGAAAGACCCGGAATGGTCCTCTTTCAATGCATTCACACTTCAAGCATCCATCGAAAATCATGCCAATCTTTCGCGTACTTTGCACTCACGGATAAACGCACGCTTTCCCCCAAACTCAATTTGTCATTTTCTTCAGTTTTCCAACAGCGATTTGGCCATTTGAATGCCAAAATGTTGAATCAAATATGCCAGCACAAAGTACGGTCTTTCACTAAAAGATTTGCTCTTTACCTACCTTTACCTTCACTTGTTAATAATACCTACCTTTACCTTCACTTGTTAATACTGTTTAGGTATATTTTTCTTTTCTATCCATCTTTTGTCTTTTTTGTATTTTTTATCTTTTTTTTCAAGTATTTCCTATTCAAAACAACTCTTTTCAAATCCTTTAATTGCACTCTTTCTTCTCATTTTCTTTGTTGAACCATTTGAGAAGGTCAAAAGTTTCACGTTTACTTTCAGGTAAAATTTAGTTGATTTCTAGATCTTGACAGCTTTGATGCAAATTGAAATTCTAAAAGTTTCTTTATTATCATACATACCTTTTCTTTTCCCTTTATTCAAGAACTTTATCCAATTTTCCTAATCAACTCAACTACAGAATATGCCGGAAGCTCGTCCCCGTGTCTCCCGTCATCGCCCGAAAGTCGAAGCAGTCGATTATTACGAGACATCAAAAACTTCATCATCGTCGAGAATTCCCGACGAGATGAGATCGATAAAAGTGAATGGGAAAAGAAATGAAGAGAAGATCTATGAAAAGAGCAAAAGTTCATCCAATATTCCCAAATCTTCTAAAATTGAGAAACCCGACGTTCCACGCCGTCAAACCTCAACCATTCCGAAAGCGGTGCTGAAAAAAGTTCGGATCTTGGAGCCGGGAAGGGATTCACCGGAAGAAGATCGAAATCAAGAAGAAATTCATCATTCACAAGAGATTCGCGAGATACGGAAAGGTCAGCAAAGAGAAGAGGCCACAAATGGTCCAATTCCACAAAGCAGGATTGTACCTGTTACTCTTTTAGAGCCAAAAGATCAAATTCCACAAAAAGTTGCTTTAAATCTTCGAAATGATTCAAATTCTCAAAAGAATTTACCAAATTTCTCAAAAGATTCAATCCGGAGAAGTAGAATTGTGCCTGTTAATCGTTTAGAACAAAATGATTTAATTCCAGTCACTCAAAATCTTCAAAATGATCCAAATTCTCAAAAAAGTGATCAAGATATTCAAAAAGATTATTCACATTATCAAAATTTCTCAAAAGAAGATCCAATTGCGGAAAGAAGAGCTAATCGTTTAGAAGCAAAAGATTCAATTCGACAAAGAAAGATTTTACTGGATCGTTCAGAGGCAAATGATTCAATTTCTACAAATATTCCAAATGCAATTCATCCAAATATTCCCCAACCAATGAAAAAAATTGTGATTCGTCGAAGAAAAACGAAAATCATTGTCTCAAAGCGTTTCCGTCCAACGGCAAAAGAGCGAAAGGGGAAAGATGAGGGTTTGTTTAGAATTTTTGCACAATATGTTCGATGAATCGGAAATGTTGATCTATATAGATTTGATCACATATCCCAGATCTTTTTCTTGTCTTTTTTTGGGAGGGATTTATTGGTGACCTTGTTTGTGAGGAGAAAGGGACAAGATGGGGTGAAGGAGTCTCTTTTTATTTCACAGCGGGAGAAGAACTGATCTCCTCTAAATGCCTCAATTGAGCAACAACATCGACCCTTCTTATTTTTCGATTTACATTTACATAATAATTTTTTTTCCCAATCTTTTCATTAAAATCGTTTATTTATAGATTATTTAACCGTTTTTATAGAAGCTTAGATAGAAATATAAGGGTAATCTGATTGTTGTGGGAGTGGGACAAATGCGACCTTTTTTTTGCGCACCCGGACATTTGCGCACCTTTTTTCCGCACTTAGCCCATTAGCGCACCTTTTTTCGCGTTTTAAAAAAGCTCTAAAAAGCTAATATTAACCAATTTCTATTCCAAAATTTGTTTTTCTAGGTAATTTGAGGGCGTAGAATCGAAATTTTGACATATCAGAGCTTGTGGAAACAAACCGACGGAGTTATACAAAGAGAAAAATCAACAATTTTCTGTAATTTGATCTAGCCTGTCTTTCAGATCTAGATCTGTCTTTCAAATTGGTTCCACACGCTCTGTTGTGTCAAAATTTGAATTCGACACCCTCAAATTACCTAGAAAAACAACTTTTGGAATAGAAATTGGTTAATATTGGCTTTTTAGAGCTTTTTTAAAACGCGAAAAAAGGTGCGCTAATGGGCAAGGTGCGGAAAAAAAGGTGCGCAAATGTCCGGGTGCGCAAAAAAAGGTAGCATTTGTCCCACTCCCGATTATTATAGCCTTTTTGGTTAATAGACGTTCTTGTTTAGTTTTCTAAAACCATAAACTACTACTACCATAAACTAATTTAAATCAGCGCTTGATTTTCATTGGTTTTCAAGAGTCTAGATTGATTTTTGGTTTAAATACGACCTTAACAAGAGTCTAGATCAATTCAAAGTTCTGATTTTGAATTTGTAAAGCTTACAAAAGCAAATAAGAGAGCTAAGGACAAGAATTTGATGTACAAATGCTAAAAAAAATTTCATTTTTCATTTTTAGTAACAAATCTGGATCAAGCAGGCGCCATTCAATTGCGAGTTTCGGCGGCTGGGCGAAGGGGTTTCGGCCCTCCGTCAGCCGCATCAAATCCCGTTCATCCGACGCTCAATATCGGTGGTGCACATGGTGAGTGCTCTTTGATATATTACTCTATATTCTTACCATAAGTAAACCGTTTATTAACCTACCGTAAATACTGTAATAGTACCCCACCGCCCTCGTACAGTCACGTAGTCGCAAAAGTTTTTTAGTATTTCATTTTTTTTCAAAGAGCCCGTACTTTCAAAAAATAGCGCTGAATTTCAGCTATTTTTTGATACCTAAGCGCACATTGTAGCATAAACCAGTGTCGAGAAAAACACGTTCAAAGCTACGCAACACTCCGCACCGTCATTAATGGGGGTGGGGTACTATTACAGTATTTACGGCAGTCTTATAACAAGATAAGTTCTTCGGTGAAGAGTTCTTTCAGCAATGAGCTTTCGGTAAAAATGCGAAACATTTCAATGCCAAACGGCTCTTTGAATCCTTTTTCCTAAAGAGTATCAACGAGTTTAACGTAATTACAAAAGTACTTCAAAGCTTTCTTCAAATGCTATACATTTCCCCCAAAACTTTGCCGATGATCACCATCTTTTCCTTTCTTTTCTCATTTCTCTCAAAAAAGTATCAGATTTCTCTAGAACACCAATTGGTCTTCATCTCCTTTTTCACACATTTTATTTCCTACTTTCGATTGAATGCTCACCGAAATTCAAATTCGATTCCCAAATTGTTCAACCATTCATCTATGGCTTCATCTATACCATCCGAAAATTCAAATATTCTGTCGAGGTTGTTGTCTAGATTTTGATGAAATCTAGTGACTTTCAGAATAGTATAGATTAGATTAGTAATAAATTAAATATCAAACTTCTTTAATGCTTTCAAAAAAAAATGACAAATTACCCTTACTCTAGGCTCAGCGCCAGCGCCGGGAGCCCCAGGCCGACCGCGGGTGATCGCTGTGGACGGGCAACGAGCGACAATCGAATGGGAAGCCCCGCCAGCTGATGCACATTCCGCACCCCTAGCCGGGTATTTAAATATTTAAATATTTAGATATAAGAATATTTCTAGATATCAAGTTGAATATCGAGTTTACGGAACAACCGATTGGATTGTGGCCACGGACACGTGGATTACGGAGACGCGATATACAGGTTTGAGAGATGGTCTGGAGAAAACTACAAGAACTATAAGCCTAAGCATTTCTATATGCAAATTAGATCTGTAAATTGTTTATATCCAATCAATTGAGGATTATAAACTTTTAGTGGAGTCATTGCGACCAAATGGCGTGTACGAGTTCCGGGTGCGAGGCCGAAACGCTGACGGGGTCGGAGTGGCGAGCAAGAGTAGCGGACCGTCACATATAAAGGTTTCTTTGTTTATTTATATAAACTATACGATTAATACCACTTAACATGACACTTTTCAGCCAGCAGCCCCACAAAGAACTGGCGGTGCCGGGGGTCGACCCGTATCTGAAAGAGTGCCCATTCCCGGGCAACCACAGGTTTCCTTTTAGATCTAAACTTTATTCGTATAGGATTCTAAAGTGAAAATTTGCATCTATTTCTTTAGATTGTCGAATATGACATGGATTGGGTGAAGCTGGAATGGCAAGAAGCCTCGGGACCAGATCTTGCTTACATTGTCGAGTACAGAGAAGTAGGCGACCCGCAATGGTACGCGGCGAGTACACAACCATTGCCACATAATTGTATTCAAGGTGAGAAATAGATATCGAGTATCTTTAAGTGAAATTCGTTTAGTGGAAGGCTTGCGACCGGGGAGCACCTATGAATTCCGGGTCGTCTCGATAATGGAGGGATATTCATCGCTTCCTTCTGAAGTCTCCGAGATTGTCTCATTGAGGCCATTGTGGAAGGTTGGATTGGAATGTTGATACAGTAATTGTTGATAAAGCGATCTCTCAGCAAACCGGCTTGCTCAAGTAACTAGATAATGAGATAAAATCTTTTTACTGAGCCAATCCTTTCAGTAAAACTTGGTCTGTAAGCAATTCTAGAGTTACCATAAGATATAGAGAATCAAGCTTTGAAAAGTAATCGAAAAATTATTTCAAATCTCTATATTTTCCAGGCTCCATCCGGCCGTGGTGTTCCCGTGAAACCGGAGGCTCCAGAATATCTAGAAGTTGATGGAGATCGGATAACTTTATGCTGGCAACCGGCGAACTCAACTCTACCTGTGCTAGGGTAAGAAATCTAACTGAATTAATGTTAGCATAACAGATTTTACAAAACTCATAACACTTTCAGCTATGACGTCGAATTCCGCGATTTCCAGCAAGACTCTAATTGGTATAAAGTGAATGATGGACCGATTCACACATGCAAGATGACAGGTTCGGATAATTGGATACTAGATAATAAAGAAAATTCAGTGGGTGATCTGATTCTCGGACATGAGTATCAATTCCGTGTACTCGCGCACAATGTCTCTGGCTGTTCCCCTCCATCCGATCCATCACCGCCAGTCACCATTCAACATCAGCAAAGTGAGGAGAACTAGCTTGTTTTTGTGAAGTTAAAAGATCGATTTCTAGATGGTGACGCAAAATACGTGGAAGCCGAACGATTCGGAGCCGTGCGATTGTTACAAGAGGAAATGGTAGCTGAGAATTTGCACTGTCAATTGTAGTTGTTGTTCAGGTTCGAGAAAGCCCGCCATTGCCTGATAGAGATGATAGTCCGCCGCCAATCAGAAGAAATCAATATGGAAATTGTGAGTGCAATTTTTGAGATCTTACAGATCTCAGATCTCTATTCTTTATTATAGATAGAAGGTTTTCCAAACCTGGTGTAGTTTTTTTTGTAATTGTTTTGAAACAACCGGGTTCGAGGACTTGTAATCTAAGCATAATCTGCAGGTTATGTAAAACCAGATTCTTCTGGATTCTCATCTTGTATAGAAAAATTATTTCTAGAACTTTTCTATATAAAATGAAAAACTCTTCATTATTTCTCTCAATTGGTTCTTTCAGTGCAATGGAGGGATCCAAATCTCAAAGAAGTTATTGATTATTTGGGAAACGCTGACAAGGAAAAGCAAAGAAACGCGAGTGGATATCTTCAACATTTAACCTTTTCGGATAATTTGATCAAAGAAGAGACAAGGTTTGAGAAATAAAGGGAAAACTCTGAAGGGTTTTTTTGTTTCAGAGAGTTGGGGGGAGTGCCGAAATTGGTGGCCCTGTTGAAGAGTGACGATCCATCTATACAAAAGAATTGCGCGGCTTGTCTCAAGAATCTTTCATTCGGCAAAGAGAATGATCGGAATAAGGTGAGAATGATCAAATTTTTAGAGATTTCGAGATTTTAGTAAATGAAATTCGAATCTTAACTATAATTTTTTACAGTTGGCCGTACTCGAAGCGAATGGAGTGGCACTGTTGTCGGCTTTGTTGCAGCTAACTCACGATGCGGCTGTGAAGGTGAGAATGTAATTTTGAATACAATTTAATGCATAGAGTTGTTTAAGAGTTTTTAAGAGTTGTTTATTTGTCTTAAATCGATTTATATTTGAAATAGATGCTTATAGATAAGCGAAATAGATAAGCGCACTGATTTATGATTGAAGAATCTCACCCACAATTCTCATCGTTATGCTATGATGTGCTTAAATACTATATCTATTTTAAAAGCTTTTTTATATCTATCTTTTTATTCAGGAAGAAGCAACTGCAGCTTTATGGAATCTCTCGTCAGCCGACGAACTCAAGGATCATTGCCTTCAATCAGCCGCCGATCCATTGATACAACATGTTTGTCTTTAAACTTTTAATATAATATCGTTTAAGAAAATAACTACCGTAAATACTGTAATAGTACCCCAGCCCCATAATGACGGTGCGGAGTGTTGCGTAGTCTAGCTTTGAACGAGTTTTTCTCGACACTGGTTTATGCTACAATGCGCGCTTAGGTATCAAAAAATAACCCTCAATTTCATCTATTTTTTGATACCAAAGACGCATTTTTTGAAAGTACGGGCGCTTTGGAAAAAATGAAATACTAAAAAACTTTTGCGACTACGCGACTGTACGAGGGGGGTGGGGTACTATTACAGTATTTACGGTAAATACTTTTGAAAATATATAGTACTTTAATTTCTGATTTTATTTACGAAAGAAATTCACTAGTAAGCACGAGGGTTGTTCTAAAGGAATTGCCCTAGAGCTCGAAGAAAATAATTCCCCAATTTAGGTGGTGATCCCAGGAAGCGGGTATGTCCCAGCTGGGATGTCGACCGGTTTCGATCAACTCCGACACCTCAACAGCAACTCGGCTCTGTTCAAAAATGGAACCGGAGTGCTACGGTTTGTCAGAAATTTCAAGAAATTCATTAGTAAGCACGAGGGTTGTTCTAAAGGAATTACCCTAGAGCTGATTGGCAACCCATAAGATTCTTTTTCAAAGTTTCAGTTTTGCATATCATAGTGTCACAATTTTCCAGCAACATCTCCGCCTCCTCTGCCCAAGCACGTGTCAAACTCCGCAATGCTCCTCATTTCATCGAGGCGCTCGTTCATTTTCTCACCACATCCATTCACCGAGGACAGGTTGAATTTAAATTTGGATTCAAATTTACCCTAGGCTTTCAGGTTGACACTCCAACAGTGGAAAATGTTGTTTGTATTTTGAGAAATCTTTCTTATCGAGTACAAGAAGTCGTCGATCCACACTATGACCCACACAAAGCACATGAGAAACAAAATGGCCGAAGCAAGAGTGCCCCATCGGGAAGTCCGAAAATACCGAAGAAAAAGGAGAAGACAAAGATGAAGAAGAATGGAGTAAACGAGATGCCACAGGTGAGAACGAGTTTATTGAACTTATTGATGACACGGCGATTAGGGTGGAGCAATTCTATGGCAAACGCATGTCGTCAAGTTGTATTTGAAGCTGTTGCAAGAGGCGAGCAATCCGGATACGCTTGAGGTTTGTTGAAAGAGTTGAAATGATAGAATTGTTTCGCTCAAAATAGAGATTCATTGTTCAAGACCGAATTATTCAAACTTGGCACTGCTAACTTTTGAGTCTGGTGCCAGATCTTTACAGTATCTGACTCTTGAACATATCTACCAGTACTGGTAGAGCTCTTGGATTAGAAGATCTGATACTACTCTTGGTATCAGCTTTTCTCATCTATTGAAATACTTACTTTAGTTGAGTGCTGAATACTATTATTGGATTCCGGCCTGGTATCACTTTGTAAAGTCCCAAATCTATCACTAAACATTTGCAGGCATCAGCAGGAGCCATTCAAAATCTCGCCGCTTGTCAATTCGAGCCATCGGCCGAAGTGCGGGGAACGGTGCGAATCGAGAAAGGATTGCCGATACTCGTCGAATTGGTGAGATTGGCGGATGATCGGCTGGTTTGCTCGGTGGCGACTGCTTTGCGAAATCTTTCACTCGATCAAAGAAACCGGGAACTTATTGGTGAGTTTTCGAAAGGACAAAAGTATTGCCCAATAGGCAAAGTACGGTTGTACAATTTAGGCTCAATTTTTGTACTTTATACGTCATTTCAATGAAATTCAGGTAAATACGCGCTCCGCGATCTGATCGACAAAATGCCAGAGCCTGGAACGAGAAGAGAGCCAAATAAGGGACCCTCGGATCAGACGATTGGAGCCATTTTGGGAATCCTTTTTGAGATCGTTCGGGAGAGTGCTCAATTCACAAAGTTTCATCATCAATTATCAATAAAAACATGTAAAAAACTCTAGGGATTTGCATATTTCAAAAGGAACCGAGAAGCTGCAATTCTTGGCCAAATCATTTCCAATGTACAGTGGACGAGTGGCGAAGTATGCGAGTCAAGTGCTGTACATGATGTGGTGAGGGATAAGATTTCGAATTTAGCTGATATCGAATGAAAGAAATCTTTTATAAAGAAATCTTCAGGCAACATAAAGAGCTGCATGATGGATTCAAGAGAGCCGGGCTGAAAGAAAGTGATTTCTATTCGGGAACAGGCAGAAGGTGAGTATAGTAGAAAAAAAGGAATACTGAATACAGTACTGAACAAATGGCGTACACTGTAAAGTACAGTACACTGTAAAGTTCAAAAAGTATGTCTAAGTTTTTGAGTACGATGTGAAGCACAAGCCGAACACCATGAACAATAAAAAAAATGATCGAAATTCAGAGGCGATTCCGCGACATTGGCTCGTCCAATTAGTTCTCAGGGTAGAGAACGACCAAAGGGACAAAATCGAACACACGATGATACGATGAGCAGTGGATATGGAGCAGTCGATGGACAGGTAATCGAATGACACAAAGCAATCAAGTAAAACAGCTCTTCTTAATGCTTTCAACACAAAAAGAATAGATGGGTGATGGATAACAAGCACAAAAAAAACACAACGATGATCCTCTTTTACACCCAAAAAAAACTCACCATCTTTTTTAGAAGAGCAAAAAGACTCGAAAATAGGCGAAGCAGAAAAAGGTAAGCCTAGTGAAGAAAAAGAGGGATCAAGATGGGGGAAATATTGTGTAAATAAAATCTAAAGCGATTTTTTTCTTTTTCCTTTTAAGCACACAATTGTTTCCCATTTTGATCTCTTTTCGTATATCTTTTGTTCAGTTTTTTCTCTCTTTAGTAACCATTGAGTTTGTTTGAAATTTTCCCGTGGATATGTACGAGAAAAGGTTGATAGATTGACAAAGATTTCAATTGGCAAAGATTTCAATTAACAAAGATTTCAATTGACAAAGCTTTCAATTAACAAAGACTACCGCTTCTCGTACTTTGTGCTCAAAAAAAACACATCATTTCTAGACATCAGAAGCATTGCTATGAGTGAAAATGAATGAATAGGGCGCTAGAAAGGGTGTGTTTACAAGCTATGAGAGACACAAAGCACATGCTTGACATCAATTGAGTTAAAAAAAAGCGATTTCGGTAGTTGTAGCAATGCCAGAGACATTTGCTGAGGAAAAAGTGAAGAATTTCGTGTAAAAGTGTACGTGAATCATCAGAGTTCATTCCAAATCCCTACTCGTACATATCCATTTTCTCTTTTCCATATTCATAAATGTGTTTGGTGCATCGCGAACTCAAATTTTTTTTCATTTCAAGTGTGGTCGGCTATCAGTTTTGAGAAAAGCTTTCTTGAAATTTTCATTTCATTCAAACTATCCAGCTGTCTTGGTGCGTGTAGTGATTCAAAATCCCAAAAAACTCATGACATTTCAACTTATCAATCTAACAATGGTTTTCGATTAAAAGAAGTCGACTTATAAAGTCTTGTCTCGAGAATCGCAAAGACTACAATTTTTAAAGAAACTTTTTCAGCCTTACTATGATGAGAGGCTGAGAGGCAGTGTCCATCCCCAACCACTTCCACCACTTCCACCAAGTCATCCATCAACATCTCGACCGCCTTCTCTTCACAATGGACATGGGAATAATGGGTAGGAATTGGAAACTATAAAGGTTCAAGGTTTAGTTCTGAAATTATCATTAATCGAATCAGCATAGTCTACTATTTTAACTTAATATCAGTTTGTAAAGCTGGTTGCTTGGCAAAGTTGAGGCTAGAATCCTGGTCTAGTCTAAATCTTGCACTAGTTTGATAACAATCAAAGAGTCCTTAAAAGTCAAGCCTGAGCTTGACCTCTGACCTGGTTCTGGCCTAGCTCTAGCTTAAAATCCTAGTGCTATCAGTCATGAAACTAACCGATTTCAGTTTCCATCGTCCACCCTCACTTCCCCCAGCAACCCCAGCCGTCCGCTCATCAGCAATCTACCAAGATGTGTACCCCGTTGATCATTACAGTAATCCCCATTATGAGGCTCCTCCAAGCATCTCCGGTCGTTATTCAACCGTTCAACAACCGCTCGATTATCCCAATCAATCATCTCCATCAATCATCCATCCATATGGTCAATTCGAGCGCCGTGAGCCGCTCTATGCTTCCGTGCAGAAGCAGCGCGATCGACCCGTTGATGATAGTTGGGTTTAGAGAGGGAATTGGCTAGTAAAGTTTGTGTCAAATAGAAATCACAAATCGAGTGATTCAAAATTTGTCATTTTATTGCCAATCCCTAACTATTCCATTGTTGAATTGGTTTCTAGTCTTTCTCTAAAGTTTTTTCTGTTTTTATTGCTCACCAATGAAGTTGCTTATCGATAATGGGGATTGGAATTACAAGAACTGGATTAGGATTCGATTTTCTTTAAATCAACAATCAAAGCAATCTTTAAAAGAAAATATTCAGCTATACGCAGGGATTTCCAGGGTCAGGAAATCGATTGGAACTATTCTTTTACTTTACCAATCTTTTTCTCAGTTTCTATTTATGCTGTAATCAAGCTGTATCGATATCGATAAACAACTCACTCACCAAATGATCTTTGCCCCTTCTTTTCCCCTTCTTTTCCCCTTCTTTTCCCCTTCTTTTCCCCTCTTTTCCCTTCTTTTCCCCTCTTTTCCCCTCTTTTCCCCTCTTTTCCACTTCATTTCCTTCAGGTCGTTCACTGCCAAAATTTTCCCCTTGAAGATGTCAAAAATTTCCCCTTTTTTTGGACACCCCGGGTATTCTATGTGCATTCATTTATAAAGCTTTTTTTAGAATTTTGTGACTCTTTGCACATTCCTCATTGTCTAATCAAAGAATTTTATTGAAAAACATTCATTTTTATGTCATTTTAAATCATTTTCCCAACTGTTCTCTTGTTAATTCACTTAAAATGTTTTCGTTTTTTTTGTCTGTTTTTTTTTTTGATGACTCACAGAGGTTTATTCGATTTTCTAGTATTTTCGAATCGTTTATTGAAAAGAATAAAGTTTTATTTTGAATAGCAAATTCAATTTTAAAGAAGAACATTTAGGGGAGACCAAACAAGAAAAAATTGACTATGGTAAATCGAAAATCGGAGTATTTGATTATTGCATTAGAATCAAAATCGCATTCTGTTTAGTGGAAAATGGCTGGTTTGCTTACTGATTGAACTAGTGCAAAATTAGGGATAGGCTACTTTGCGCCAAATTTTTTGCGCAACAGGGTCATTTGCGCAACTGGGTCGTTTGCGCAACTCGCCATAACTTTCTTCTAAGTCGGTCAATCTTTATGATTTTGGTGTCATTTTGTTGCACTTATTGAGATCTACAAAATGAAGCCAAAATCATAAAGATTGGTTCACTTAGAAGAAAGTTGTGGCGAGTTGCGCAAACGACCCAGTTGCTCGAATGACCCAGTTGCACAAAAAATTTGGCGCAAAGTAGCCTACCCCAAAAATTGACTATGGTAAATCGAAAATCGGAGTATTTGATTACTGTATTAGTGTAGACAGACAGACAGACAGACAGACAGATTACTGTAAGTAGACAATTGCACTTGATTGGTGTTCAAAACTTTTTTTTACACAAACAAAATCGACTATAGTAAATCGAAAAATGTAGTTACTGGTGTGAACCCTGGTTGTCAGAGTTAAATGTCAGCAGATTAGATAGAAATTTGGAGAAAATTATGGTAGCTTTCGGAAATTGACAAGTTTTAGAGAGTGTGCTTAAAATTCTAGTATTTGATTGATGTTTAAAAACTTTCTCTATGTGTCATAGATAAATTGTACGCAAAAAAAAACAAAAATATAGCCACGAGTTTGATCGTTGAACAGGGGAAACCCACGATAATTTGTCTCTCTACTTAATGAAATGGGAAAGCTTGTGAAAAAGAGTCATTTTATTGCCCAATCACCGCTTTTTGAAGGGCCAAAAGAAGGGCCAAAAGAAGCGCTAAAAAGCTGGGCAATGTTTTGAGCAAAAAAGAAGAGATCTCCCTTTTTGATATCCCTTTTTTTATAGCATCGGAAAATCCTCCAATATTTGAAAGCACCTCTTCTTAAATTTCTTTCTTTTTTTCTTTACTTCAAAAGTTTGCCATTTCTTTTTCTTTGTGATGCAATTTGTCATCCATTTGTGTTCCCCTGAGATTCCCCTTTTTGAGAGCCGATAAAAACAATACATTTCTTTGTGTTTTCCTTTTACCTTAATCCCTTTATACTTTTTTGGCAAAGTTGAACCCAACTCACCACCACCAAATTGGCTTGCCTCTCGTCATAATATTTTATGGAAAACAATCTGCGTGAAAATTTATTACCGGAGGAAAGAAATTTTCTTTTGAGGGGAAAGATCGATCCCTTTTCTAGTCATCGTCATTTCTTGTGTCCCAGTCAGTCAAAGCTGTTCCTAGATTTTCCAGGCTAAGCCAAGGCAAAGCCAAAACCATGCCAATTATTTTTGCTTAATTTCCCAACAAGTTTGAAATTCCAGGCTCGACCAAGCCAAGAAGGCCAAGATCAATAGCTTGGCTTTGGCTTGGCCTGGTTAGCCATGGCTTTTGGCTTTTAGAACAGTCTTGATCCCAGCCTCGACTTGGCTTTGGCTTGGCTTGGTTACCAATGACTTTTTCCTTTTTAAGACATCCCTGATCAAGTTTTTTTCAGCTATCAAAATCATTCCAAATGATTCCATCGGTTTCGCTCGTTGAAATGCCAATAAATCTCATTATTTTTGGAGCCCCCCAAAATTCTCATTCACTTAAAAGTCCCCGGGGGAAAGGATTTGCTTTTTCCGGAATTGATTGGGAAACAATTGAATTCTTTTCAATTCTTTCTTTCTTTTCCTCTTTTCTAAAGGCCAACCCCCAAGAGTCAATCTCGAATTTCGGTGATTCCCACTCGAAGATGGAAAGGAAACCGAGAACCAACCTTCCATTTGGCATCTTGAGGGAATGATAAGACAAAAACAGATCTTCATTCTAATGATCTTTGTTTTATATTATTTTGTGTTCTTTCAGAAACTCCTACTTACTACAATCCTTCTCGTAATCTCTATAAATATCCGTATCCCAATTTTATGCCTATCATAATCCAACAAAGGCGATCAAAATTTTGAAGTTGAAAATGTTCAAGCTGATCTTGACACATTATAGCACTTAAAAGCACCGTTATAGCACCGTAATCAAAGCACGAATTTGCATTCGATCGGCTCAACTTTTCTATCATCTACTGAGCCTTATCGAATGATACCAAAATTGGGTTGATTCAATGAAAAGTATGCAGTTTTTTTTTCCTGAAATTTCTCACAATTAGACTCGTTAGTCAAAAGTTTTAGTCTTGAGTTTGTTTGATTCCCACTGTTTGATTCCCAACAGTTTGATTTCCCATTGTTTGATCCCCAACTGTAGTGATTATTGTTGGTTTAGATATAATCTTTATTACAGCGATAATAGTTGGTTCAGTGGTTTGATATTGGGAGAGTAGAGGCACTCCACGGCACGCCTCGGCAGCTCGTTCACATTGCTTTTATACGGAACTCGGGCGTTCGTCTCGTCTTCCACACAATGGAGTTGAACGGATAGCGACACATATTAAATCTCGCACAATAGGCGTTCGTCCCCATAGGTGTCTAGCTGGCCATTTCCATACGTGGCAATCTCGATCACGAGATCGTCACGACACCAACAGTTTGATTCCCAACAGTTTGATTCCCATTAATTCTTGAAATATTCAATTGAATATCTGCATTCTATCAAAATCGAAAGGTGTTTTCCATTTCCCGCCGTTCTGCAAAGCCCAATTCCCTCGGCGCACGAGCCACTTTCCTCCAAAATTACCCCAACTTTCATGCAAAAAAAACTCTTAAAAACCATGAAAATTGCCTCAATAATTTTGCCTTCTATATGATGAGGTTATGATGAGGTTTTTCTCTGTCTTTTGTGCCTTCTTTTTGTGTGAAAGTTCAACGAAGTGTCGATGAAATTCGAACTCCCATTTACTCCCATTCTACTCCCTTCCATCCATTCTACTCCTCTCCATCCATTCCCCCCATTTCATTTAAATGCCGAACTCATCAACAGCTCATTTTTTTGCCTCTTTTTTTTTCATTTCCTTTCTCTCGCATCTCACTTTTCATTACTTGTTTGGGGTTTTCCCGGATCAACTTTTCCAATGAAATCCCCAGATTTAATGTCTGCGAAACCCGACAATGACTCTCTTCGGCAACTCATCGTTTTTCATACAGGTGCCAGAATAATAGCTTTTGTTAAAATTCTAATTTCAGTGAATATCTCACTGGGTTTGGTGTGCTCAGTGTTAGCCACGACTCTCATTTTCATCTTTATCACAAGTACTCGGATGCTGAATCGAAATCGAGTGAGTGAGCAGGAAATTTGGATTCGGGATTTTAATTTCTAAAAATTCTAAATAGATTATAAGTTAAGTTAATAAAGGTATCGATTTCCAGTTACTATTCACGCTTTCTCTGGCCGATTTCTGCAATTGCTTGGCGATCACCCTGATGGGAGTCGATCGAGTCACACTTTATGAGGTTTGAAATACAGTAAAATGAAAAAAACTCATAGTGAAACTATTACTTTTGAAGCTATCAGTCTCAAATATTCAAAGAAGAGGCCTAAAAATGATCAAAAGATGATCAAAATGATCTTAAATCTAAAGGATCAAAATTTTCAGGATCTACTAGACGGAGGATCGGCGAGCAGTAAACGAGCCGGTGAATGCGCTGCAGAGTTGTGGCTTTTCTTCAGAACAATCGGTGAGTGAAGAATCAAAGAAGAATCTCGACCGATTTAGGTGATTTATGGCCACCAATCGTGCAAACAATGATCGGTTTTGAGTGTCTACTCAAAGCATGTCAAGGGAAAAATCCGATTAACAGGTTTCGTCTCAAAGTTTTTTTATCTAAAGAAAATTCCTTCAGATCTCGACAATTTCAAATTTTCACCGTTTTATTCGTGATCTGGGCATCAAGTCTTGGCTATGCGGTGGCCTACGGGAGAAGGAATGAAAAGGTATATTGAGAAATGAGAAATTGAGAAAAATTTCTATTGGAGACGAAATGAAATCCTCCTCTGCCTCAAAAAAAATCAAAATTTTGATTGCATTCTCCTAAATTTACATTTCACTTTCCACATTTTTAGGCCAAATATTTCTGCGGTCGGAAAGCGGCTTTTGGGCGAGCGTTTTCGGTTTTCATTTATGCGCATAATGTTTTCGGATACATTGCCGGATTGGTGCTCAACGTTACAGCTTATCGAATTGCGAGTATCGATTCGAATAGTCATAGGTAGGCACTGCAAAATCTAGAAAAAAAAAAGACAACAGCCAGAGAGACTTTTTTTTTATAAAAATCCCTAGGATCAATCCGTCAGTGATTCGACAAATGAGAGTTTGCATCATGGTCTCTTTACTTTCCACAGTTCTCGTCTCGATACCAAATTCTCTATCTCTGATTTCGGCTGTTCATCTATCGTCGGTGAGTTCAAAAATGAATACCAATATGAAAGCCTCAAATTTCAGATCAGCAATGCTATAACGAAGCCCGCGGTTTATGCAACATGCATAAATTCGGGTATCAATATATTTGTATACTTTGTTCTCAATTCTGATTTCAGGTTTGTTCCAAAAAACTTTTTAACCTTTAGAAACGAATTTCCAGAAGGCGTTGCATCTTTTTGCTGACAAGAGAAGAGTTCTCTAGCAACGAACTTTATATGGATGCTGACGAAGAAGAAGATAAAGAATGGATCGAACAACAATCCAACATCAATCCCACGATTTCCCATCAAAAACTCATCGAATAATGTGTATATTTGCTGCTTGTATAAACTGAATAATTTATCAAACAAAACTTTAAAGCAAGGCCACACAAAAATTATGCTCTAGATACAGTAAATCACAAATTATTTTTCCATTTTCTTCAGATGACCTTCCAATGTCTCTATCTAAATTTGTTTTCTTATTAATTGAAAAAAAAAATAATTACCTTTGCTACAAGAGCTGCCACCTCATTTTTAGCCATTGTGTGAACAAAATCGAGATTTGTGCGATTCTTGAGGATCTCCTTTTCAATCATCTCTCGTGTATTTGAGAGCCTGTTTAGCCGTTCCGAGAACTGTTGAGCTGAAAAACATAAGTCTTGATGCAAAAAGTTAGCAATACGGCAAGCAAATAGCTTAACAACTAGTACATTTCGAAGAAAAAAAAAAGATACCACATTCATGAAGTCGAGAGAGCGAGTTCAACTTCTTGGTTTTACTTGGCAGGTTAGCACATACACCATCCCATCTGAAACAATAAATCTTAAATAGCCATATAAAACCCTCAATGCAATACAAATTAGAAACTTACTTGGACATCAATGCTAATAGCTCATTCACGTTTTGCTCGATTTCTTCATTCGAGTTACCCTTTTTCTCTTCTACCTAAAAAAAAAGATAAAAATGTAACTTGGAAAAAATTTTCAAACCTGCTTTAGTTTATTCAGCAAAGCAACGAGTTTACTGTCAGCTGTCTCCATAAATGCTGGATTTAAAACATCAGTGCGCAAACGAAGATCTTCAATGGCGTCTGTAAGTGGTTGCGCTCCAGCGGGAAGATGACCTAAACAATAAATAATTTTTGAAATACCTTTTTAGAAATTAAATAAGAAAAGTACCAAAGCTTACCCGTTAAACTTTCAATTCGCGCTAGACGTTTTTCAAGTGATTTCACCTAAAAGAGTCTTGAATAATGCAAATAAAAAATAAGCACATTTCCATCAGCTTGCGATGGGCCAGGAATCTTCGCCGTTTGATCACCCTTCGTTGGTTTTGCCACATCCTTAAACATAAAAATTCTAAATTACAGTATAAGTTGGTACCTTCCTCGCTTTCACCTCATCCAACATGGATTTTAAAAGCGATGTTGATTTAGTAGTTACAGCTTCGTCCTTTCCAGTCTAAAATTAATCTTTAATAACTTGAGGAGTCGTAAAATACACAAATGAAAAACGTTGCCTGACTATATGCATAACTAACTAAAACTTGCCGGAATACATTGAGCTAGTTCTCCAATTTCCATGTGAAGTCTCTGGAATTTTTGCTCGAATGTTTCAGGTTCATCGCTGTTTTTACCTAAACAAAGCTACTTTAAATCCATGCTCTGACATTTACAAACACCAGAAAATGTCTTTTACTCCTCACCTTGAATTTCGAGAACGTAAGCTACGCTTCCATAAGACTTTTTCCCCAAAGGGGAGATCGAATCAGAAAAATCTAAACAAAACTATGAACGCAGAGACATCAACAGCTTACCAACGTTCTGAGCATTCAAAAGCCTTCCTTGGAAACGTTTCAAGGCACCATCAATGTCCAAATGAACCTAAAGGTTAGGAATGTAATAAATCCATAAGGTTTTTCAGTTAAACGCGAGCCATTTGGTTATTAAAAATCACTTACAAGTTGCAATTCTTCTGGAAGGGTCAATTCATCGCGGAAGTACTTTTGATCACGATCGGCCTCTGTGAGTGGCTCTTCACTTTCGTAGACATCTTCTTTCATGTTGGTCGCCATAGCTCCTAAATGTTAAATGGTAAATTATTAGTAGTTAAATCATATTACAAATTAAATTGTAATAAATAAAATGCAAGTAAAATGCAAATCAAATCGCAAATTTGCACTACAGCTCAACGATAGCCCATTATGAAATGTTGTACGAAAGGATACAAAATTACGCCTCTATTTAGACCAAATTCAAAGATCCCACTCGATGAAGTAGACTTCCCGTGAAAGTTTAAACCTTTCACTATATGCAAGCTGAAGCCAGCTTCAAAATGTTTCAGATCACATTTCAAGAAAATTCTGAGTCATAAAGCTGCAGTTTGTAAACCGTTTCATGATTTATACTTTTATTCTCATACATAATAACACAGCAATTTTTCCATAAAAGAATCGACGCACTATAGAAAGAAATAAAGGGAAATACCGGTAAAATAAAGAGTCAATGAGCAAGTTATAAATGACGGCAATAGGCAAGAAATTTAGAACCAACCATGAAGATACATATCACTGAAATGGCAAGTTAACATGTGAGAAGTTCTTAAAAGATTGTTCTAGCTGATGTTTTTAAAGAAATGGAGAAGCATGGTAGAGACAGTTTTCCTTTGGAGCTAAGTAATATCTAGACGTTTGTTCAAAAAGTACTCATCTCAATGGCAAGTTTAGCACTAAAAGTCTATATGCACCGAGTTGAAGTTGTGCTCACCACAAAACTTACTACCCATCGTCGTTACTAATAGAGCAACTCTCTGAAAATCTTTGAATGGCGGCAAACATTTAAAAACACCGGGATCGAAAAAGAGGTAAACAAGTAATGCAAAGTACCCTGCGGGTGTAAACAAATCTAGTAGATACAAAAAGGCTGATCTATCGAAAGCTTATTGAACATTAGCTTTTTGTCTTCGGAGAAAAGCGGCCACCTTCCGAGGTAAAGGAATTGGGATGTCGTATCTAAATTCAGTACGCTAAGTATATGTATGCTAAATAGCAAAAAATAAGCAACTCACCTTCGTGGTATTGGCTTCACAACACTGCCCTCGATGTAACGAAAGAAAATGAACCACCATTCTTTTCTTAGATGACTGTTAGATGATGTCTAAACATTGTTTTAAATAAAAACCAAATGAAAAGGTATAATAACTAGGTAATCCTAAATTTATAGCTTTTAAAAACTTACTTTTAAGGTTGGATGAGCAGCTAGCGTGTGATAAGACCAAAATACTCGTGTGCAGATGAAATACGATAGAATGACATCGATTGTGTAATGCCCCCTAAAATATTAATTTGCATGAAGACTTAGCAAAGTTCCACCTCGAAATTATAAGCAAAACCATTCCAGCTATCGCAATCAACCATGATGCAAGGTGAACAATCTTCCATCGACGTGGTGTATCTAAAAGTGCAAAAAGTTAATCCAGGAAAAAGTTTATCAAGCTAATAAAGGCTATTTTAATCACTTACATTCGCCAATAAATAATGCTGAGATGGTTAGCACTATTGTATGGCCTGAGTAGATATAGTCACCACAAAGCGAGTGCTTTCCAAAGAGATTAAGCCCCATTCCAGCCATTACTTCAATTGCACGTCTTGAAATCAACCAAAATGTTGCATTTTCGCCCTAAACAAAAACATTCATGCTCGAACATAAGCTCATCATCTTCGGTAATTTGATTGCAACTCACCAATTTTGGTGAACAGTAGTAATTTGGGTCGGCTTTTGGGACAATCGTTGAATACATCGTAATGCACCGACACAAATAGAGAATCGAACCAATAAAAGCAAGCCTACGTAGGACAATCCATCGATGTCTAAATTATCTTCATTAGATTTCGTACGCCATCTTTTTACTTACCTGTGAAAAAGGATGAGGACCAAAACTGATATAAACGAGCCCAGCATCAGATATTCACATATATTCAACCCTAAATTTATTATCAACCATAAAATATTCCAAATCAAACCCAAAGCATAGTAGGTCGTGTGACGAAATCCAACGTCTGGTAAAGGCGGTTGATCCGGCAACTAAATCAAAACGTAAAAAAAACACTCAAATTTTAACATACCAGTTCATGAACAAACGATAAAGTTAGAGTGTTGAGGAATCCAGAAAACACGACCAAGATGCAGGAAAGCTAAAAAGAATTTGCTTGTTTCAAAAATAGAGTACTTACTATCGTTTTCGTCTTTTCTTTTGGAAATCGGTCATGTGGGCTCGCAGGCTTGTCTTCATTGGGCATATCGACACGGACATCTCCAGATGATGATGGTCCCGCCCCAAGTAACGGTGTTGTTCCTAAAAATTTAAAAGTTCAAATAGCTTATTCAGTTGCAGAAACCTAATGAATCATATTCTGAATCTTCCGTAAAAGCATCTTTGTTTAATAGAGGGGTTTGTGCTTCATCAGAATCGGTAGAATCGTCCATCAAAATATGTAAAAACAAACGAGAAAAGAGTTTTTTTCCGAAACAATCAACCAAAAGAAATATCACTCAGTCATGCGCCGGGTAAAAGAAATTTCTCTTCGATTTCTCTCATGCTCTCACCAGTCACTTTTAGCGCATTCTTCCCAAAAAGCGAATCAAAGAAATGTCTATCTTACTCGCTAAATGAAAAAATTTCTCAACTTTTATAGGAATAAATCGAGCTGTTTCGCAGAAATACATCCTAGTACCATATTTTGGAATGCAGCTTTAGAAATTGTTATCAAATTATCTTATCTAATTGCTTTTACAAAGTTTGCGAATAAAAAACATGGGATAACCAAACTTTAAATTCAAGAAGTCGGATAGTGAGAGGACCAGTCAAACGGAGGGTAATGATATGAGCGATAAGGGTGCTATCAGCTTGCAAAAGGGCGGTGCAGCACAAACCCCAAGATCAAATAAAAATGCTACCTCCGCATTGCCAAAAAAGCTTTAAAATTAAGATGTTTAATTTAACAATTAATAATGTCAACTAACCATTCCCATCATCGATACTCTCCTCATCCGTTTGACTGCCAGACGACGTCGCTCCTCCGTACCCACATGGATTGCGCCGAGTTGTAGAGGACGCTTCTGCTCCTTGTATTTGACTATTGTTTCCCCAGTTGTTATGTGGTAACTAAAATAATCACAAATGAGTGCAAACGTTTAAAAAGCCACCTCAGCAGGAGAAATTTCTTCTGACGGCTGTGGTTCTTCTGGATCGACCATGCGTTCATATGGCAGCGTTGATTCTCTATTTGTCATAGCGTCATTTGGCAAAATCCGAAAGCACACAATATTGTTTTGATTTGACTCTTGGAAAAATTAGTATCATAAGGAACACCAGCTAAAATACTTACCTTTAACGGAGCATAAGAAGTTCTTTGTGATTGTGGGAGTGAAGTGGCCGCTGGAGTTTTGCTCTTAAAAGGACTTATTGTTGCTTGAGACAGAAAACAGCCTTTTCGTTTTGTTTATCGAAAGCTAAAAGAAAAACAATAGAACTATACGTAATAGGGTTACGAAAAAAGGAATTCCATAAGAGCGAAAGCAAAGAGAGTAGGGGAGAAGGAGCCATTGATCGATGCGCAAAAGGCTAGCTTGTGCCTATGGGGGTTCAGGGAGCACATTCGTAGAGAAAGAGAGCTCGAGCAAAGGAAAGAGAGCCACAGGGTCTCGTATATTCATTTCATAAAGAAAAATATCTAGTACTACGTTTAGGCAGGTTCCCCGTAATTTCGCAGAAAATTCAATTTCACTGAAAAAAATTCATGTTTTAGGAAACAGGTTCTAATAAGTGTTGTGACGGGGGCAACTCCCGAACCCCCTTCTTTACTACTAGTAACATGTTAAACAAAAAAAAATACAATATTATGTTCGAAACAAGGTAAGTCATTTCCTAAAAAGCAGATCTTTTTTCGGTGAAACGAACGTGTCCCGTTTAGACAGCATGGCCCTATAAAAACATTTCAATAAATAATCTTTTGAAAATCACGAGGCACATTTGTTGTGTCTCGTGTTCATATAAAATTTTAGTTTAAAACTGTTAATATCAACTTGGAGAGTCGAGCAAAATTGAAAACGTCAGCCACTATAAACAACGACGAGGCACCGCTATCTTTGGCCGCATTGTAATTTTAGGCCAGCTCAAGATCAAATATGTGAAGGTACAGGGAAAACTACAAAAAAAAACATATCCGAGTGTACTAAGCTTGGTCCCGATCCATGAAACAGATATGTCTATGACTTTTAGTCAGACAGCCCAGAAAAAAAAGCAACCTTTTGCTCATCGATCGATAGAAAAAGAGCAGCTGATGCCAACCTCCCTCCCCCCGCGAAAAATAAACTACCAAAAGAAAACAACAATGTGAGTCACAGCCCAATTCGTCATAAAATGAATTCCACTTTTTGCTAATCAAATTTAAAACTTTGGTACATAAAAGAAGTGATTTTGCAATAGTTTTGAGAATCCAAAAAAGGTTTAGCTAGTCTTTCGACTCAAAAAATTGCGTTATCAAGAAATGGTGTGATGAAACGTGATAACGACATTGAATAAAATATAACAACGGGAACACTGAAATTTATTGAGGCGTAAAAACCCATACCATGTCTATGTACAACAAAAAACGTAAAATTTTATTTATAGCCTCTATAGTACACACAAAAAACAAATACCCATAATCAAAACAAATTTAAAAATAACCGCTGAAGATTGTTATTTAGTCTTTGTCCAAAAGCGGAATTGAAATAGTAATATGCGGAACCTGAAAATTCAAAATTAAACCCAAACTTGTTACTTCTAACATCTTCTAACAAAATATAACGCCGTTCGTCTGTCTGTCTGTTCGAGGCTTTTATTTTGGGAATTGAGCTAGGGGGCTGAAAACTTCCATTTTAGGGTAAAAAAATTTGTTGATTTTGAATCTGAAGTCCGTCTGTACAAAACGTCATTTCCCGTCGAGTTATTCGACTTTAAAATTTACAACGGCCGCCCAATTTGCATTTAAGAGGGAGAATTTATGCCAAACTTTAGCAAAGCAGCTGGTTTAGTATAACCGTAGGGTTTCTTTTTATTTTTAAACTCATAATAATATTGTCAATTATTATTGATGTACAAGACCAACTATGTAGTAAATATTTTGCATTCAATTAAAGTTTTCAGAAAAATGTAAGTGCAAGAAAAACATACCTGAAAAAAGTATAATCCATGATAAAACAACGTATTTAAAATTGACACTTGGATCGACTTCCAGCAACAAAGGACCAGGCGTTATTGGTTCAGAAGGTAGCGCTCTAAAAATAAGAAAGCACAACTATGCAAATATTTACGGTCAAACAACGAACCGTGGCTCCAAATCTGTCCAATGTTTAATAAACCCGTCGAGACCTTTGGAATTTAACGGTCGATCATCCATCCTAGCCACGGCCATTCCATTGACCCATAATATCACGGTTGGAGTTCCCGTAATTCCATACCGTGAATTGAATCTGAAAAGTCGAGTTAGAATTCTAGAATTTAGAACTATAAATGTAAATGTTAAAATTTCCTTCCACAACTGCTACAGTCTTATATTATATTTTACTACAATTAACTATTATATTAAAATAAACAAACTTGCTAAAATCCGTGGCATCGATCGCTACAACCGTTAACCGTGGAAATCGATACGGAAGAGCATTGAAATATGGAGCGAGTCTGGCAGAAAATTGACACTCTGGTGCGTAGAACAAACTAAGGAAAAAAAATAGACTATTTTGATATTCTTTTGTAAGAACCACAAGCCTTAATCACTTAAAAGAAAAACTTTACCTAAGGATGCATGAAGACTTTCGTTTTGCCTCCGTTTCTTTCAGTCGTAATAAGGCCATCATCTCGGTAGCATGCAGTAAGTGAACCGTCATATTTGAATTATTCGTTGAAGCCTCTAAACTTTATTTAGAGTATCACAGATCCATTTACTTGCCAAAATTAAAACATCGATAGCGAATTGCTGACAAATTGTCCAGAGTATCATCTACACATTCCTCTTCTTCGGTGACCGGGCAATATTTTAGTAAGTAGGCTTTTAGACGACCACCCCGATTCAACGTGCAACTCTAATAAAAACATTATATCGGATTAAAAGCAAAAAAACTTACTGAATTTTTAGCGAACACATACGATCCATATAACAAAACGACAATAATTTGATAAACACGATACATCTCACACTGCAAACGCTTCTAAAGTTGATCTGAAATTTAAAATTTATACATCATTTATATCCAACAACAAACAAAATGAAAACAGCATATAATAAATAAATATAAATTACAAACATAGTAGCTCAATCAATGCTTGTATATCATAAAGGTTCAGTTTTTATTTGAGAAGTCGTTGGAGTGGATTCCTCATCAGATGGTGGATTGTCGAGAATTCTCTGTCGTTTTCGCAAATAGTAATGCCACTGGAAAATGAGTTGATCTTCGATGAATTTCGCATTGGCCGTCGATTCGAGCGCTTCTCGGAATTCTTTTTCTTGTAGAGCTTCTAGCATGAAGAGACATTGCGGGTATTTCAGACATCGCGCATACTCCGGTCTTTTCCAATAGAGAAGATATTTGAGGTAGTTGACAAAATAGTCCTCCTTAAAATAGCCGCGTTGCGAGAGAAAATTGAGGTAGTGCGGGTTTGCAAGGCTTTGCACGAATTCACACTCAATCTCGAATCGTCTCCGTTGTTCCTCCACCGATTCGAGCATTTACTTCACACTTCTCTCAAGTCAGAACTAAAAATACATCAATCATCAACAAATCTTTGAAAAAAGAAAGACGAACATGAAAATGCAATGTTTTTTGCACAAAAGTTTCCCTAGATTGCCAAGTAAGTAGCGCGACGTAGAATCTATTTTCAGCCAAGAACTAAATAAATAAAAGTATTTAAATCTATCCTATTCAGGTAAAGATCAGTCCGCTGTTCACTTCAATTTAACTCAAGAGTTGAATGGGGTTATTGCCGAAAATCCAAGACTACGGTAGAGAGGGTGCTTAATAAGCGTCGCCAATAGTTTACCCGTTGTCGGCAAAGGGATTAGGTCGAACAAAATGTGCACCTGGTTACCTACCGTAAATACTGTAATAGTACCACACCCCCCTCGTACAGACGCGTAGTCTCAAAAGTTTTTTAGTATTTCATTTTTTTCAAAGCGCCCGTACTTTGAAAAAAATAGCTCTATTTTTTGATACCTAAGCGCACATTGTAGAATAAACCAGTGTCGAGAAGAACGCGTTCAAAACTAGACTACGCAACACTCCGCACCGTCATTAATGGGGGTGGAGTACTATTACAGTATTTACGATAGGTATTTTAAACTAGGAGAAATGAGCGATCTAATGTGCTATTTAACAACAACAACAGCAGCAAAATTGTGCTTTAAACTTAGTATTAGCTTTCAGGTTCTTTCATCACAAATTCGCGAGCTGGATGTCATTTGGCGTGATGGTGAATGGCACACAAGTCGGTTTCAAGGTAGAATTTCAGTGCTTCTTGAAGAGCCATCACAGCCGATGATTGAACGCTTAGGTCAGTCTTGAAATCTTGCGCGATTTCATGGACGAGGAATTTATGGAAGCTTTACTCAGCAACTCAATACCATCTGGTTGTTACATTAGAACTAACTCATATCATTTACTATTTTTCGCTGCTTTCTCAAAATTTTCCCTGATTTTGATATTCAATGAACATTCCGTTGATTAAACCCCAACATTTGTCTCACCGGTTGAGAAAAGTGAGCGTGAGTAAAAAAAAAAAGAGGAGAAAAAAGGGGAAATTCTGTCCGGAAACCGGGTTGCTTCTTACCGGGTATCCCTTTAGGGAGACAGATCCATCCAACGGTTGGAGTGGATGGAAAAGAAAGGGACAAGGAGAGGATCGACATGCAATTCTTGGGGTGAAGGGATCTCCTTGCCCCCTTGCTTCCCCGCCTATCCCATCCGCTTGCTTGTATCCAGTTTTCTCTCTTTATTCCTGCCCTCCTCGAGGCTTTCTTCTCCATTTTTGCATGCTTGTGCCCTCCACCTCTTAACCCCTAACACGAGACAATATTTTTGTTTGTTTTCTATTGTTAGTCCGGACTGTTTGGTTTCTCTTTTTACCGTAATCCGGTTTGAAATATTGTTCAAAACACTCTATAAACCATGTCTCTCCTCTTTTAGTCACTTGCAAATCAGCATCTTAAGGCTAAATTGGGTTTCTACTGTAGTTTAGCAGAATAATCTTACAATTTGAGCTTTTGTGAGATTAGTTGCTGACGTGGGACTCTAAATTCTGTACGTTTTACATGCCAATGTGTATACTATGTGCTACATTATCCCAATTTGAACTTTTAGGGCTACATTACCCCATTTGAACCTTCAAATTGGGTTACAGTAATCGAATTTTAATCTACAGTATTAGTTTTCTCTACTCTAAAAGTCTTCAATTCGCTCACGAGTGTACATTTAGATCTCATTTTGACCTCTCCATAATACAATACGTTTGTCCTACCTCATTTTTAAAACCAATGCTTTAGCGTTCCTCGTCTTTTCACTAGAAACGACACTGCTTTACCCTGTTCAAATTCGATTGTGTCTTGGGGTCTTTTATCGGCAATCTAGGCCGTCGTGGTTGGTGGAGGATCCCTGTTCCCCCTTTTGTGAGCTTGAGCTCTCCTCTCTTTCTCTCGAGAGCCATCTCAAGCAATGAGCCGGGTGAAGGGTGGCTAATACATTCAGCACTTACAAAAAACCCCTCTCATCAATTTGAGCTAGGATATCTCTTAGAGAGATTTTTCTACAATCTCTCTCCTTTCCTCTTCATTTCATTCAATGGAAAGTGCCTGACAAAAATCGAAATCGGAAAATCTAGGCCATCAGTGAGATTCGCGATTTGGGGAGAGTTAGTAAATTAATTTTAATTGATTTTGTTTTCAGAAGAGAGCTTTTCGAGATCATCTTTATTGTCGATCAAATGATTTCAAATTTTCATTTCAAATTTACATTTAATCTACAATATGTAGTTGGTTTGAGTTCAAAAACAACACCAAAATGAAAGCACTACTCTAAAAGAGCTCCAAGTACAACAGTTGGGCAAAAAAAAGTAAGAATGCGACTTTTATTCGAATACAAATTTGATTCTTTAGCTCTTACCACCGTAAATCAAGTTTTAAGTAGTTTTAAGTTCGGTTTAGCAATTTTCAATCTATACAACTACATAATAATGTTGCTTTATTATAGAAATACTTTACTAAAGTGTAAACACATCCTTTTTGGTGCACTCAAGCCACGAACTAAAGTTAGTTTGCTGCTTCACTACCTACTTATCTTATTTACAAAATCAAACAACTTTTCCCGTGCATCAAACCGAGAAAGTATTAAATTCCTTCGATTTCCCCATCCAATGCTTTCCCCTTCTCCCAAAAATCTACCTGATTTTCGTCTTCAACTAGAAACACAAAAAAAAATAGCTTTTATTTCTTTTCTCCCCTCTCCGTTTAGATTGAGATCTGTGTCGTCGATTCACCTAAAAGTCCCCTCATTCCATCAAATTTCACTTTCGGCTTTCAATGTTTTTTTCTTATTTTCAATCAAAAACCATTTTTCGATTGAATTCTCTAATTTTGTGTGCATTTAATCTGACCTCTGACTTTCAATCTTGACCTATTTATTACTACGCTAACTATTTTGGTAAATATACTATTTTACTATTTTAACTTTATAAACTAGGTACCTCAAATATTCCACTTTTGCCTGCAAAAGCGCATACTTTTTCATCTTTGATATCCAATTTTAGCCTTGTACTGAATTTTATCTGTATCTGAATTTTACCCATATCCATTTTTTAGCGCAATGAGATGCGCGCTCATCATTCTCCTATTCTCGTTTCTTTTCTACACGGGGATCGATGGAGAAATGGAGAATAAGGATTTGAAGAGCACCTCACATGAACGATCAAAACAAGAAAAAGTTAGATAAACTCTGGATAACTCTTAACACATTCGCGACGACGGCATTTTTAGGCGTACAGTCGCGTAGTCGTTAAACGTTTCACTGATAATTTGGTGAAAATTCAAAAATAAACGAGCTCATTCGATAGCCCTGAATCTTCTCTTGAAAATCAGTACAAAGTTGCCGAGAACTTTTTGCGAAATAACAAAATCCTTAAAAACTTGAGTTGACACGAAAAATAATCGTCATTAGTACGTCATTAGTATTGCCGAAAATAAGCTCTGTCCTTGAAATGAATTTGAATTTACGATCAAAATGAAAGTATATTTAAACAAATTTAGATAATCAAAGCCGTCAGTGGAAGTGTCGAAATCGAGGAGAAATCCGACGAAAAAACGACAACAGAAACGGCAACAACAACCGAAAATCCAGAAGAAAATGAGGACTTTCTTGATATGAGAAAACTCGTTAAAGTAAAAAGCTTCATCAATTTTTTATGAATCCAGAATTCTAGGGATCAATCAACGCTTTGGCTCAACTACCGACTGGGCAGAAAGTGAACAAAACCGAGAATTTCTACAAGTAAGGTGAAGTGTAATCGGTTACAAGAATGATTCAGTTTGCTTCAAATCCCAGCAGCGATTCTTGGTGACATTGCCGGTGGGAGAGTGCTTGAGACGACAACAGCTCAATCACATCAGTGAGTAAAGTATTGAAAGGCTTTGGTAAGGATTATAGTAACGATTGGTTGGATCTAAGAGACGATTACGGTAGAAGTTGTTACGTTTTAGAAAGGCAGCAGTTTACACTTAGTTTTCAGAGTTGCCGACGATGCATCGCCTTTCCGACAAATGACTTCATGGGAAGAAGAAGAAAAAGCTCGACTAGAAGAAGAGAAAAAGAGAGAAGCGATAAGAATGAGATTAGAAGTTGAGAAAAGATTGATTGATGAAGCGAGGATAAGAGCTGAGGCACAACGACGTCTAGCACAACAAGAAGGGGCGAGGATTGCCGCTGCACTCGCGCAAGCTTTACCCAAACCATCAACCACTCCCTTGCCGATTCAGATCCCCCAACAAATCCCTCAAGAATCTCCACTTGTCGTTGGACGGCCTGTTGTAAAATCGTGAGTTTTAACTTGAAGTTTCAAGCATTACGGATCAATTTAGAGTCGAGAGAACACCACGCATCGAGACGACGCAAATGTTCAATCTACCATCGCTCAACTTGAATAATCTCTTTGGAACACCGATGTACGTTGTTATTTAAATCTTTAAAGTTTATAGTTTTAAGAAAATTTCGTCAAAAATTAGAATCTAAAGAAAAATATCTAGATCTGCTTATTTATTTGGCGCTTGAAGTTTTGCTTTTTGAATTTTCTTCAAACTTTTTGGGGTGGGACAAATGCGACCTTGTTTTTGCGCACCGTAGAGCTTCAAAAATGTTTTCATAGAAGGGAATCGTATGCGTAGATTCCGAATTTTGACAAATCAGACCTCGCTGACACGTCAAATTTGGGCTAAAAGGCAAAAACTACGCAACTTAACGCTTTTCCGCAGTTTTTGCCTTTTAGCCCAAATTTGACGTGTCAGCGAGGTATGATTTGTCATAATTCTGAATCTACGCATACGATTCCCTTCTATGAAAACATTTTTGAAGCTCTACGACCTTTCCTAAGGCCTTTTCCAGCAAAAAAAAGGTGCGCAAATGTCCAGGTGCGCAAAAAAAGGTCGCATTTGTCCCACCCCCGAATCTAAAGAAAAATATCTAGATCTGC